TGAAAAACATAAAAGACGTCTATAGACGTCTTTGGCAGCCAATGAGTTAACTAGGATGAGCAGAAATCTGTGCTACTCTCTAAAGTTTTTCAAATGGCCGGTGATCATGTTTTTTTCTGAGAGAACAAACACAGCAGAGGCAGTGAGTAGTGTGTATCTATGTTTATTCAACTAAATAATATCTTAAAGTACAGCAGAGTGACTGAGAGCTGTGTTTTAATCACACAGGAAAAGATCATTAGTAAGTCTGTGTGTGTTTAAAACATGATTAAATTCATTCAAAATCTACAAAACTAGTAAAAAAATCTTAATTTAGGAGAACAATGGGTACAGCAGATGGTGAATAAGATACAGTAGCTACAATTTAAAAATTCATGGCTTTGGCACAAGTGTATAAAAAAGAGGCGGTAAAAAAAGAAAAGAAAAAAAAGGCACTTTCTTATGAGCGATATTAGTGGCTTTGCTTGCAAGTGTGGTTGACATAATCATAAAATCCCTTAATTAGCATCAGCCTTTCCTCATCAGAGCAGTAAAACCGCATTCGGATGGTTTTAATGTCCCTTTGCAGACACACTGAGCAATAAAGGCCAGAAATACTTAAGAAAGCACTTAAGAAAGTGTCCCAGAAAAATCACAATTTACAAAATATAAAATGTTTTTTTTTGTTTTTAAAAAGGCCACTATAAAAAGAAAACGTAACAGTGTGAATGACTTTTTAATGACATAAAATGCATCTGAATCCTCAGACTGAATGAAAACTGGAGTTCTGTGATCTAAATACTTTGTAGAAAGCCTTAATTTATGAATATTTGTGTAACAGATTGTAATGTAATGTGAAATAATTTGAAACGTATAATTGTTTTTATGATGTGATCATTTGATATGTTTTGTGTATCTGTATAATTTTAAAAGGACCCCAGGAAGAGTAGCTGGCAAATTACTGACAGCTAATGCGGATCCAAATAAATAAACAAATAAGCAAATAAATTCCCAGCATGATGGAAATCTCGTAACGTTTTTCCATGCTATTTTTTCCCAAAATGAGCTCATCAGATGCCAAATTAGATACCGTGCCAAATTATTCTGAAACAGAAACCACCTTTAGGCTTTTGGGGTGTGAAAGGTAGTGGGGAAGTTACAGTGGGGGAAATAAGTATTTGAGCCCTTGCTGATTTTGCAGGTTCGCCCACTTACAAAGAATGCAACGATCTATAACTTTAATCATATGTACATTCTAACAGTGAAAGACAGAATCCCAAAGAAAATTCCAGAAAATCACATCATATTATTTATTGTTGGGTTTCTGTAGTTAACTTCAGAGTAGGGTCTGACCTGCTCTGTTTGGAAAGCGCTGTGAGAAAACTGTTGTTGTGATGTGGCGCTATATAAATAAAATTGAATCGAATTAATTTTAATTTTGTAATGGACTGATTTTGTATTTTGTGATTTTGTGTTGTTTGGTCGTCCTGCCTCAGGACGACAGATGTAAACTAGCAACTATGCTATAATCTGGCTCATTTACAATCTGTATGAGATTGTTCATTAATGTGCACTGTCCTGATTAAAGAAATAAATAAACTTTAAATCATAAAAATTGATAACCATCTGATGAGGAAAAACAAGCATTCTTTTTGTAAGTGGGCAAACCTGCAAAATCAGCAAGGGGTCAAATACTTATTTCCCCCACTGTACCTCCTAACTTCCTAACTCCTCCCCTTTCTTCTTCTTCCTTTTCCTCCCTCAGTACGGCTCTGCCTTTAGCTTCTGATACAGGCAGCATGTGAACACCATCCCGATGATCTGGGAAAAGACGAGAAGGAGGACACGAGTTATTATGTTTTATTTGACATTTAAGGAGGACTGTCAGGGAGGTTGGGTCTTGGTGGAGATGTGGAAAAACAAGGTTTTATTATAACAAAAACACTCATGAAGAGCGAATGTCCAGACAAAGTACAAATCAAAAATGTGGAAAACTATGAGCAAAGTATCAAAGCAATAAGTAAACAAGACTGTGGCAAAGTATCAAATCATGATTGTAAGAGCCAGTTAATGGGGAGTTCATATAGAATAATAATTTAGATGAAAAATGTATAAATATGCTTAATTTACTTTTAAGAAATTCATGATGAGTATATTTTCTAGAATGTATAACTTAGTTCATGTAAAAGGATGTTTTTATTGGGAAAAATAATTTTTGCAATTTTTTGACCGATCTGTACTGAGCCTTTCATTTTTTCTATAAGTGTACTTTTTTTAGTTATTTAAGTAAACATCATAAAAGAAGACTTGGTTTCAGTCGAGTGATTCAAATATTGGTTGTTAGACAAACTGCAAAGGTGGTACAACGAACCTTTGGGACGCAGAGTGCCACTACAATGATTAACAAAACTGTGACAAAACATGGCTATGACGATAACTAGGCTATGGAACAAAAACATGACTATGGCAGTAAAGTAAACAAGGCTGTGACAAAATCAAACCTGAACTGACATGGGGAGACGAAAGACAACAGACGAAAGAAGCAAAAAGACGCAAACGCACTGGCACAAGACATGAGAAACGAGGACTATTTAACCCTTGTGTGGTGTTCGGGTCTGTGGGACCGGTTTTCATTTTTTACTAAAAGAAAAATGATACGATGAATTAATTTTTCAAACTGATACTCACTGGCTTTGGCTCATTTTCTGTCAAGAACATATATCAGAATTCATATTTAATGCCCACACACCGTACACTCCCCTACACATTTCTGAAATTGATGTTCTGTGAACCACACACAGACACACAGACACACACAGACACACACAGACACACAGACACACACACACACACACACACACACACACACACACACACACACACACACACACACACACACACACACACACACACACACACACACACACACACACACACACACACACACACACACACACACACACACACACACACACACACACACACACACACACACA